GCCGCGAGGTGGAAACGCGTTTCGTCCAAGTAGAAGCTGTCCCTTCACTCTACGAAGCGGAAACGCGTTTCGTCCAAGCAGGAGCCATTCCTGCTCCTCGGCGTGAAGTGGAAACGCGTTTAGTCCACGTTCCCGTTCCCCAGCCCGAAGTGGAAACGCGTTTCATCCAAGTGGAAGCCGCTCCTGCTCCTCCCAGTTTCGTCCAGGTACAACCTCAGGTTGCCGGCTATTCCGCCGGGCGCCGCGGTCGGCGTCCTGCCCTCCGAGGCCGCTTCTACTCGTCCGATGACAACAGCGCCGAGAAGTGAGCGCAGGGTTAATCCTTCTGGTTCCACGAAGCCTCTGTCTCTTCCTACTGAAGTATAGGCTGCACCCAACTAATCTCATGGGTTTGTAAGGGGGGAAAAAGGGCTTACCATTTTCTTGACTTTTCTTTATTAAAATAAATAAATTTTGGAATGTAACCAATTCTTTGTCATTTTACTGTAATCTGCATTTCATCGACCTCTTCATGCGAGTAAATTCAGTCCAGGTATACATACAAATATATTTTCACCTCAGTGGTATATCAAAAGCAAAACACAAAAATATTTTTTTAAAATCTAATATAATACATATATATATATATATATATATATATATATATATATATATATATATATATATATATATATATATATATATATATATATATATAACGAACAACTGACTGAAACTTATTTCTAAAGTAAGGAAGTGGAATGAATCGGGAAAACGTGCACAAGATAGAGATAGAAGGATTGGCGACTCATAAACACAAAACTAAACACGTCAAAAGCCACGGGCGAAATCGACCTTGCTCACAAACGTCTATACACACTCACTGGTCCCACGGGTGTCCAAAGAAAAAATACGAGAGAAGAGAGCAAACACCATCATCACTCTCCACGATGATTTAGGAAAGAGAATCAACGCAAAACCACGGCGTACGATTTTATACCCGAGGTGTGCAGGCGCTTGGCCACAGGGTCGACTCCGAACGTATTTTATATAAACGGGTTGTCATGAATTTTATTCCAGTGCTGGGAGGATGAAGTGAGGGATCCATTCCTCAATCCTACTTACGTAAGTCACAATAAGAGCAAAATTAGGGACGATCAAAGAATAAGGACGAGGTGAGTCCGTGTCTGGGGGAAGGGGGTAAGAAAATTTGACAAGGGAATATGAAGTGTTTTGGCAAGTAACATGGTGGATGGTATATAGAAATCTTCAAATCATATATATCACAGAACGATGCTATATAAAATTAAAACATAACTATATCTGTTGTTTGTGTTTTGAGATTTGAGCAGCTTGCGAACAAAGTGGTGATTTAAGTTCTACATTTACAACCTAATTGGTCAGGGCAACGGGCGATGTACGGCAGGGCATCCAGGAGGACGACGAAGGAAGGCATCCAATGCTACTTCTCTCTAATCAGAGAGTTGCGGCAAGAAAGCAAGGTCAAAGGTATGACGTGTAAACTAGTGCAACTGACGTGTGCGGTGCTGTTGTAAACATTAACCTTCCTCTTGTATTCTAATATTACTAAATTGCGCTTATTCTACAGTATCTAATTTCTAAGGTGCATTAATTCTACGCAGATCACTTCTTTGACCTTACCTTACTCTTCGGACTCCCTACAAACAGCAGGCATCATAAAAAAGGAAGGGGAAAACGGTAAACTCGCGGCAAAATTCAGGCACGGGAAATGCGATACGACGTTGCGCGAACGAACGAGTGAATGAGCCCCAACATAAACGCACAAACTATCACAAAGATCGTATGAACATCATAAATCTTTCTAACCCTGGGTTCTGCCTCCGATCGACTTATTTGCCTTGCCAGGTGCTCCGCCCCGGACCCCTTCCCGATCGCCGTGTTTCACTGCAAATGTAAAACTATAAATTGGGCTTACCTTCTGGTTGATGTGTGGGGGGGCTAGGAAGTGACGAAACTCTGACAAAGTTCTGCATCTGGGGCACGGTTATTGTATTTCACTGAATTAAGTGTTATCACCGAGATCGTAACAGTTTCAGGAAGAGATCGTTTTCCCCGGAATATTGGGAGCAAATCAGAAACACAAGTAGCACTGTAAACAAACCACGAGCAATGAGCACTGTGACAACAGAACTGCCAAATTTGCCGGTAGATGGCTGTGCATGCCCAGGTATGGGTGTAAGTATTTCAATAATAATAATAAAAATAATAATAATAATAATAAGTGGTGCATATATAATAAAATAAAATATCGCACATTTAAAGAATGGACAATAATGAATGCGTATTTCAGTATAATCATATATATATATATATATATATATATATATATATATATATATATATATATATATATATATATATAATAATAAATACAGAAATACATCAATAGTGTACTGCATTTCCAAGAGATTGATATTGATTGGCAATGACGTTACGAGCTTCATGCACCAAGAGCCTAAGACAGTTTCAGTGGGTCACCGCCAGGGCTAGAATTCTACGGAAATTCGTCTGTTAAACGGAAGCAAAAGACGACCGACGGATGGTGACGTCACCACTGTTTTTTTTCCGTAGGCTGTATTTTTGTTATTTTTATGACTACATGTGTATTTATTCAAATGAAAAGTATTCAAAGCACTATTGAAATATTAACCCATTTTCAAACAAAATAACATGAAAATTACTGAAACCATCTTGGTATGAAATGATATGTGGCATACCGAACGTCATGGCGGCGGAAATTTCATCCGATGTCATTTCTACTGGGTCGTCCAGCTGGGCATCACCAAAGGCAGAGATAGTCCCATAGAGTGACTTTAAACCTTCAGCCCTGCAACACAGTTACTATGAACAGTCGTATACTTTTTATATAAATCAAGTTTACAGGTTCCATGTCGCATTTTCTAAAGTTATACATCTAATACATTTTCTGTAAAGAGGGGCGGGTGCATTTTATGCTGTTGAATGTTTTTACATTATTCGCTTGATAATGTATTTATTGTATATTGCTTTATGCAGTGAAATGAACGAGAAAGTAACGCAGGGAATCCTATAATCATCAGACACTGGCCCTACGCACTGTTATTGTAATTGATATTCAACCGTTTATGATAGTTCATGATTCAATTTTATTATTCATATCCATTTTCTTTATCAGGTTTAGAAAACGGCAGAAATTGCGCTATGGAAGAGAGGCCAGCCCTGGCTAGATCCTCGCTGGAAGCTATACATTTTCATTGTTTTCCACCAGTTGGTTGACTGCTGCAGATTAATTTTGATAGCTATGAATGTTCCTTTTATTGGTTGTTATTATAGATTTTCTTCTAATCGGTGTGGCCCTCTTGAATATCATAACCTTATTATTAAAATTTAAAGAAGAGGGAGATTGATAATTAGATGGAAAAAAAAGATGAATAGGAATGTGAAAGAGAAGACGAAATAGATAATAACGGTAATAGAATGTCGGAGCAACAGAAAAGGTAAATAAACGACTGTACATGAATATTAAAGTTATCCTCTCACACCGTTTTCTATGGTACAACTTTATGGTACACTATATTATTTTGAGAAATTACCGTTTTATATAAAATACAAAGAGGTATTCAGCGATACTTTGCAAGTCTAACAGATACGATTTACACTGAAAATGTTAATCATTTACGTTTCTTTTGTCACGACTTTTCGTTAATAATTCCATTGTGTTAAATTTATTGATCGAATTTAACCCTGGGCGTTTGTATATGTACTAACTTACTGATGTATGCACACAAACACACACACACACACACACATATATATATATATATATATATATATATATATATATATATATATATATATGTGTGTGTGTGTGTGTGTGTGTGTGTGTGTGTGTGGTGTGTGTGTGTGTATATATATGAATATGTATGTATATATGTATTCATATATACAATTACATACATACATACATACATACATATATATATATATATATATATATATATATATATATATATATATATATTGTGTGTGTGTTTGTATACCCACACACACACAGACACACACACACACACACACACATATATATATATATATATATATATATATATATATATATATATATATATATATATATAAATATATATATATGTGTATATGTATACATATATATATATATATATATATATATATATATATATATATATATGTGTGTGTGTGTGTGTGTGTGTGTGTGTGTGTGTGTGTGTGTACACACGCACACACACACACGCATATCGAATAGGTGTCTTCCGTAGGACAATTCTAGCCCTTAACGTTAACGAAAAATCTTGACAGTCTAGCGAAGTGTATGTCATTATTATGGGCCCACCCACCGTCTGTATTGCGCTTATGCAGAGCATATTTACACTGATCCCTGTTTAACAGTGAACTTAATCAAATAAGATATCGAGATAAATAACAATTGGGTAAATTTGGAAACGCAACCCCACACCATTTTGGGGGAGAATAGAATAAATTTTCAGTAGCTTTCGTCGTGTTTCGAACGAATCTAGTAGCACTCATTTCCTTCGCAAACGAAGCATAACTACGATATCGGTTTTGATAGCTGGGAAGGGCATGGTAGGCCTACATATCTGGGAATTTCGAGAAATATCGGTAGAACATTAGTAAGCTGCCCCCCCCCCCACCCCCGCCTGGTCTTCAAAATCTCCTCATGCCCAGACCCAGGAACAGTTTTAACCTCATCTTACCTTCAGACTTAACTCCAGACGGGCCAGGCTGCGGGTCACTGGAATCATCGGGTATTCCAGGTCGTTGTTGGCGGGAATTACGTTCGTTTACAGCAAAGTTACACTACTTCGTTTTGTTTTTTCAATCCTTTTCTATGCACCACAAATCCACTGGTGTCTGTCATTTCTGTAATGACACAATGTTTTACAGTGTGGGCATTGTACTTCCACTGGCAGTACACCGTGATGTAAGCTTGCTTCGTTCTTTTGTTGATATTTCGCAGTGAAATCGAAATAATTGTTCTCACAACCTACACACTGTCTAGCCATGATGGAACTGATTTGAATTTCAACTGCCTTCTCCTAGGCCCAGCTTCTATTGTCACGTGATGATCTATTCCATATCTGATTGGTTCTATTGAGTGTCTATGTTCACGCTCGAATCTAATTGGCTCATTTGACTTCCCTCGCATACGTCATCCGCTACAAATCCGTCCGATTTCCCGTCGCTCTTAACGACTTTTTGTCATTTTGTCGCGGCGCTGGAGGAGGAAGGTAACCGCGGCTCCTGGAAGTCGTGGAGTTTATAACCTCTATAACTCCGTCATTATCGATTTGCGAAGAAAATGGTATAAAAGAAAACTATCATAGAATTAAGTGTTCTACCACATGGTAAGCTCAGATTATTTAAATTAGGTGTGGGGTTGCATTTCCAATAATAACAATTGCTACAACCAATGCACAAAGGTTAATAATCCACATATCACTATCACTTGCTCTTTCATTGTAGTGCTTCATATACTATTGTTT